TGCTCTGTGAACACACACAAAGAGGATGAGACATGGGGAGGGGTGTGTGTGAGTGTGTGTGTGTGTGTGGGTGTGTGTGTGTGTCTGGGTGTGTGTGTCTGGGTGTGTGTCACTGATTATAAGTTTGGGGAAATAGCTAAGTGCATTTACTCGAGTGCTGTACTTAAGGACAACTTTTAGAGTACATGTAATTAACATTGAGAATTGTCCATATACAGTATATATAAATGGACACAAGTTTAAAAATGTGTTGGTATTTTCATTAAATGTCACTTTAAACTTCTTCTCCACTATATTTGGAAAGGAGAATCTTGTATTTTAATTGTTTTAATAACTTGAATTGCTAGTTACCTATCACATTTACTTGTTATGTTTTGATTTGAATTTTAAATGGACTTTTTTATGGACTACTAGGAAAATATATAGAGCCAATGTAGATTAAACAATAACACATTATATTTACCTGTGGGTTGACAATAGTTTGTTGCTGTATCTTCTACAGATCATTAATAACAAAAGGTGCCGTCATGCAGTCCCAGACATCAGAACGCTGTGCAGGAATGTCTTTCATCCCGAACACAATGCTACATCTGGATCACCTGATTATGCAACGCCACTGGAATTCCCCCCCTCTTCCTCTGGTTGCTACTGGGATGATCTAATCCCAGCCCGACCGCTGAGAGGTGCAGATGGAAACATGTCAGACGCTGAGTGTGTTTAATAAGCAGTGTGCGGGATGCAGTCAGCTGTGGGGCTGTGATAACATGCAGGGGGGGTGGGGGGGGGGGAGGTGTAGGATAGGTGGGAATGTGTTTTAGTTAGAGAGACGTTGAGAGAAGAGGCGGATGAAGAGATGAGAAGAGGCTGCAGGTGTTTTCTGCCTCTGGTGACCTCATTTCCTGCAGAGCTTCTACAGGGCAGTGACACAGAAACCTCCTGATCCTATACACACACACACACACACACACACACACACACACACACACACACACACACACACACACACACACACACACACACACACACACACACACACACACACACACACACACACGCACACAGCTGAGGCTCCGCTCCAATAATAATCAGTACGGCTCCCACTTATGATTATATGATTGAGAATGAATGAGTTATTGTTTTAATAGTCTATAAAATATCAGAAAAAAAAGAAAATAAATCAGAGCCTAAGATGATGACTTTAAAGCACATATTGTAAAAATGTTTACAGTAAGCACATTTTTAATGTAACTTCTTATGTCTTTACTCATATTTTTGTATTTTATAACAATTATCTTGCCTTAATATAAATATTCTATTTTTTCAACCTTACTTAAAGGTCACCTATCATGCTATTTTTAGGCAATAGCATAGGTCTCAGATATATACAAATATATAAAAAACATGTCTATGAAGTGTTTTGCTCAAAATACCAAACAGATCACCCATTCTAGCCATGCATCATATCCCTCTATTTCACTTCCTGTTTCAAAAGTGCTGATTTTGGGTGTAAAGCTTTAAAAAAATAAAAAAGGAGGGGTCTGAGCTCATGCGGGACCCGGCAGCTACTGTCTAAACTAAATACTGCCGTGATGAAACGCCATATCATGGATTATCAAGGATTATTTCTGAAACAGTATGGAGCTCAAAGGCTTTCTCTCTTGCCGGTTATACCACAAGGTGAGTTCCTTTTTATTTCCTGCTTCTTCACACACATGCTCTCCAGTACAGGTTAGCTCTGAGTGTTAGCGATGCTAATGTAAACACCGACCATATTACGTCCAAAACAGTCGGGCATTGTTTCTGATAGCAACTTTCTGATAGTGCCATGGGTCCACATTTCAGATATTACGTCATATCGGACGCAAATCTGGATCAGCTCCGTTGTAGCCCCGACTTTAGAGATTTGGGTACGGAGGAAAAGAGAGAGGGTTTTATTTTCTGACGCTGCGTGAGTTCCCTGACACACCGGGGACACATGTTTATGTTAAAAGTAGGGCTGTCAGTCGATTAAAATAGTTAATCGCGATTAATCGCAAATTAATCGCACATTTTTTATCTGTTCTAAATGTACCTTAGAGGGATATTTTTCAAGTTTTTAATACTCTTATCAACATATGAGTGGACAACTATGCTTTATATGTTTGTTTATTATCATTTGAACAATGACAAATATTCTCATGAATATTAAACACAACAACCTCTGAACATTACAAATATTCTATTCAACCTGGAACCTCTCTCATACAATAATACAATACTGTGTGTGTGTGTGTGTGTGTGTGTGTGTGTGTGTGTGTGTGTGTGTGTGTGTGTGTGTGTGTGTGAGAGAGAATGTGGAGACACTGTGATGGATCGTTGGAGCTATGTGCAGCTCAAGGCATATATGCCTGTGTGTATGAGCTGTGTTGCGCGCACTATCCGTGCTGAGTGTGCTGTCTGGCTACCTGCATAAAGTCAAGTGCTCGGCGCAGTTGTCGGCGAAATGTCGCTCCTCTGTTTTCATTGAAACAGCTCCTTATATCCGTTAGCTCAGCTAGCTAGCACCAGATGCTAACAACAACACGTAAGGTGTGCTTCGCTCGCGCCACACATACACACACCCTCCCGGTCCTCCCGATGGCCAGTCCGGGCCTGCCGGTGAGCGTGGAAGTGTGGTCTGCCACAAGCGGGCAGCAGGAGCGGGGCTGTCAGCATCAGCTTGTAGATGGTATTTTAAACTCGATGCGCTCTGAAACTACGGCGGCCGAGGACAAAAAATACACATGCGTTAATCGCGTTAAAATAATTAGTGGCGTTAATTTTTTTTTGCGTTAACGCGTTATTAACGCGTTAACTTGACAGCCCTAGTTAAAAGACATCAAGTGCATTTTGCACGATAGGTCCCCTTTAAATGATTTCATCTTTTCTGTGGGTATTTACTTTTGGTAAATATTAATGTATTTGAATTGCTTTTTTAACTTACTGTTTACATTAATATTATTGTATTTTCTTGTATTTTACATTTTTACTTAACTTATGTTTGTATGAATAATTTTGTTCTATTTTGATCTTTTATTGAACATTTAACTTCACATATTTTACATTTTTACCATACCCAGGGAGAGTTAAAGTGATTCTGATGATTGTTAGCTTGAAGTTTTTGAAATTATTCAAAACAGAAAAGCAGAAGTTTCCCTGCTTAACAGGCTGAAAACATTTAATTTCATGACATTCTTTCCATATAATTGTTTGCATTTAAATGGTCAATAAAGTTTTAAAAAGCAGGTTGAAATGTTGCAATTATACAACTTATTTTATCTTGTATAAAACCTTGTTGGTGCATCACTGTTAATTATTCTCAAAGTCCAGAGATAACACCTTTTACTTTTGTTATGCTTTTATAACCGGGAACCATCGCAACTATCAAACCATCTGCAGAGTCAGAGATCCACTGAGTCAGAGATCCACTGGGCCCGACAGTGTAAACGTGACTGTTCACAGACTACAGTTACATCATCTGGAGCGCTGAGAGACGGGCAGGTGGGCTGACAGTATTACATCACACCTGCAACTGAAGATTCACGAGGCTTCAGACACCTGTGAAGAAATGGAGCTGTGTACATTAAACATATTGAAACAGTGTTGGTAGGAAAGGGAACATTTGTAAGTTGTCTTGAGACCATTTTTTGAGAATAACTGTGTATTTTGTGCCATAACAGCTGATGTGTTGCTGTTTTAAAGAAGCCCTATTGTGCTTTTTTGGGGTGTTCCTGTTATATAAGTTTGAGTGCATGTCAATGGTCGACAAAGGCTTAAATCCCTGTGTTCCCTCCAAAGGGAGTTTCTCATCTAAAGTCAAATCTAATTTATTTGCAGCATTCTTGTTTTTTGAGATTGTTACTTCATGATTCATTGCTGTGTTTTGGATAAAATCCTGGCACTTTCCTAAGAGATATTTTTAGCATGAGTAATCTCCAGACTTTGTGAAATAAGAACAAGATTAAAACAACGAAAAATAAGTTACTATTTTAAAAAGAAAGGTGGTTTAGTTGAGGATGTTTGATCAGGTGCAAGACTCAAAGCATTATTATGTTTTTGAGAGAGACAGTTGATTCATGGGGATGACAGAAGAGAGGTAATTTAGAAGTGTGTGATGAGAGGGTAGAGACAGCATGAGTAACTCCTACATGTTCAGACAGCAGGTGGAGAGAAGGGGAAATATACAACAGGGAATAACATCAGCAGGAGAGGACTCTTTAAAGTAGAGACACTACATACTGATATACACCTGAACATCAGCAGGAGAGGACTCTTTAAAGTAGAGACACTACATACTGATATACACCTGAACATCAGCAGGAGAGGACTCTTTAAAGTAGAGACACTACATACTGATATACACCTGAACATCAGCAGGAGAGGACTCTTTAAAGTAGAGACACTACATACTGATATACACCTGAACATCAGCAGGAGAGGACTCTTTAAAGTAGAGACACTACATACTGATATACACCTGAACATCAGCAGGAGAGGACTCTTTAAAGTAGAGACACTACATACTGATATACACCTGAACATCAGCAGGAGAGGACTCTTTAAAGTAGAGACACTACATGCTGATATACACCTGAACATCAGCAAGAGAGGACTCTTTAAAGTAGAGACACTACATACTGATATACACCTGAACATCAGCAGGAGAGGACTCTTTAAAGTAGAGACACTACATACTGATACTCCTAAACCAGTGCTTCTCAAAGTGTGGTCTGCGGACCACTGGTGGTCCGTGAGCGCCCCCTAGTGGTCCGTGAGTATATTGGTAACATTTCACATTTGAAATAAATAAATACATGGTCCTTGGTATGAAAAAGTTTGAGAAACACTGTCCTAAACAGTGCCAAAAAAGCAATACAGGGAAAGTACATAACTATTATATTGCATCAGTGTCATTAGGGACTAATAAAGCTAAAACCTTGTGTATTTTTTGAACCACAGACAAAAACAAAATTCAAATCCAGAACGTTTTCTGACTCCTTTATTACTTCCGGTACGAGTTAATTCGAGTAATAAACGAAATAAAACTCAATATCTGCAATTCCCATTTGACTTAAAGTTCCACAGTCAGGACCCAGAAACACACACACACACACACACACACATACAGACACACACACACACACACACATACACATACTTGTTTTCCCTCTCTCACATTATTAGGCATAATGGTGTAAAATGACCATGTGTGGCTTTGCGATGTTAGAGAACCGTCACCCCCGTGTGGACAAAAGCAGGAACTACAGGTAACACTGCCACAGCCTCATTCAGTATCGTCAGCTTTTTTAAAGTTAAATCCTCTCCACCCCTAAAACTAGAAACTGTTCATCCCTAATGTTGTAAATATACAGTTTACATTTCCCACTCTATAGACAGTTACAGCAACAACCGGCTCTTGTAATGAGGAGCCGTCACATTATTGAGAATAAAATGGAGCATGGCATGAACTAAAAGCTTAAAAAGGAAGCACGCACCCATCTCTAGACAAAAAAATAAGAGACAAAGACTGAAGCGATAAAGCACAGCTGAAGCGGAGTGTCGAGGGATGGGCGTGAGCAGATGGTTCTGACATTGTGACGAGAAGTTTGTTTATTGGCTTCTGCTAATCTGGCTCAAAATGGCAGCCAAAATAATTCACCAGGTGAATGGGAGATCTGAGGGGGGGGGGGGGCGCTGGTTCATTTCCCGATGAGCTTGCTGACGAATGACTCGAGTTCATCCTCGTCTTTGATCCCAACGAAGCGATCGATGACGTCACCGCCCCGGATGGCGATTACTGTCGGGACGGCAGACACCTGGACACCAAAGACACAAGGAGGGTGTTAGGAGAACAAAATGGATACATGATGAAACAACAACATGTGGGATGAATTCCCTTGTATCTTGGGGAGATAAAAACAAATACACGTGTGGTGTCGTGATAAAGAAATGCATGACACACACTGTTTGTCTCCACTTGTAAATGCTCCTTATCGTCTTCTGTGTATCTGGGACACTGGACTTGTATGCACTTGTCTTGAAACTCCTATATCATTTTATTTTAACATGATTTCTGAGTTATTGGCATGAAGTCTGACCGTTTTCAGACATTTAACTGAAGCATCGACAAAGCTATGGCGATAGTATTCATGCTGTGATTGCCCTCTGTATAATATGTGCTAAATATACACCTGTATGGTAGTATTCATGCTGTGATTGCCCTCTGTATAATGTGTGCTACATATACTTATGTAATAGTATTCATACAGTGATTGCCCTCTGTATAATGTGTGCTACATATACTTATGTAATAGTATTCATACAGTGATTGCCCTCTGTATAATATGTGCTACATATACTCGTATGGTAGTATTCATACTGTGATTGCCCTCCGTATAATGTGTGCTACATATACTCGTATGGTTGTATTCATGCTGTGATTGCCCTCCGTATAATGTGTGCTACATATACTCGTATGGTTGTATTCATACTGTGATTGCCCTCCGTATAATGTGTGCTAAATATACTCGAATTGTTGTATTCATACAGTGATTGCCCTCTGTATAATATGTGCTACATATACTTATGTAATAGTATTCATGCTGTGATTGCCCTCCACATAATGTGTGATACATATACTTATGTAATAGTATTCATACAGTGATTGCCCTCTGTATAATGCGTGCGAGTCTCACCCCGTATTCGATAGCCAGGTCTGTGTGATCGTCGATGTCGACTTTAGCCATGGTGACTTTGCCGCTCTGTTTCGCCACGGCTTTCTCCAGCCTCGGGCCGAGGATCTTACAGGGACCACACCACCTGAAGACACACGGGAACAAGAGGTCAAGAGGTCGTCTTAAAAGAGACAGAGTGGGTTATTATTGAACATGGGATCATGTGATTGGTCTTGTGTGTGTCCACGGTTAATCTTCCAAACTAGTGGACCCATCAGCCTAATATTTTGCATTGATTCACAACTTCCTAACACCGATTTGATTGACTACTTTAAACCATCATTGAGATCTTAATCGTCTTAACCGACCAGTAGGAGCTGCTTGGGTTTCAAATATTGTTTGTTATAAGGATTGGTTGGACACCTACGTCAACATCATAGTAAAACTAAATTTAAAGCATATTTTTTTATTATGGGACCTTGTTCTTGGACTGTATGGATTCTGATTGCAGTTTATATATAGATTATATATTGTTTAATCCTTATCTACATGTCAAAAGCAATTAGAAAAGTGGCTAACAAAGAAATCAATACAACTAATTCTCTGTCAGGATCAGTGTAATATTATGAATGACTTAAGTGATTGCCCACACATCACAAATACATTCAAAAAGCATCAAATCATTAAAAAATCTAAACTGAGATACAGATCTTTCTATACTGCAGAGTAATAGGGTCTTTCGTTGAGTAGCTGTTGTGCAACCTCACATGCCTCCAGAGTGGAATCCCCACCTCGCTTAGTTGTGTACAAGTGTGTGTTTATTTTTAACTGCAACACACACACACACACTGTATGTGACACTTCTAGTCATTTAAAGAGGCAGAGCAGCTGTAAAACCAGGTCAAAGGTCAGCGCTTGAATCCCTAAAATGTCACAGATCAGTGCGAGTGCAGATCTCCTAAACTGCTCTAACACAGCCAGCTTCAATCCTGGTCTCTGAGAATCTGAGTACTGCTGCTTCTCTATCTGATCAGGCAGTTAACTGCAGATCATCTAATTAATGGAAAAACAACAGCGTGGCTAGATGATAAGAAATAAAACGTGTGTGGTGTCACGTGACTTGAATTTTGAATTGAGCCGTCCCTTATAGATACTTTCTCTTTACGTATTAGTGATGGGTGTTCCGGCTCTTTTTAGTGAGACGGATCATTTGGCTCGGCTCACTAAGAAGAGCCGGCTCTTCATGTTACCACAGTTTACCACGGAGCCTCAGTTTCGCCGCTGCGAGGCTCCGGCGCTCGCAGTTCACTCGCGTGCTCCACTAGCACCCCCCGTCAAGGCTCGCCGGCGGTACACTTTCCGTCACAGGAACACGTTTTGCTGGCGGCCAAAAGAATCCCACCAGACTCCTTTGCCCCTCCAACAGAGGGATGTCCTTGTCCTTTTTCCTTTTCGTCAGAAAAACGATAAAAACTCGATCTTCTCTCTAATTATTTATTTTTTTGGATGCCCTCGGCTCGAGTTCAGGGCGTTCCGAGCTGAATAAGGGCGTCAAATGACGGCAAGACGCCCCCTGGCGGAAACGCTGCTTCAAATAGCTGAAATTATGATTTTAAACTAAGCATTCTTACAGTCAATCATTATAATCTAAAAATACTGAAGGCCGTCTCTACATATGCTTTAATGTTTTTGTTAAATACCAAAAACATTTTGTTTGTTCAATTAATACCTTATTTTGATCAGGGTGCATATTGGCAATTTGTTACAGTCTTCTTAAGCCATGAATAAAATCAAATCATTGCTTCTTCTGTAGCCTTCCTATCAATTTCAGCTCAATGGAGAGGTGCAGGAAGAAGTCCGAAAACCAAGATACTAGTTAGCTTTTTAGCCCTTTTGGGTTCCGCTCGTCTGGAAGCCAATGTTTTCTGTGAATGTGTTTTTGGTTGCAAGCCTGAAATTAGGTTTGTGGTTAACACAAGCTGAAGAGATGTTGTTTTTTTACCTAAAAAACGGCGGTTGCTAACAGGTGTCTAAATGAGACGACTAAACAACACCATGCCCAACATTAGCCACCTTTAGCTTAGCGGTGGTGACGTGAAGTCATGTGACCGTGCTGTAGTTCCTTTATAGCCCAACATTAGCCACCTTTAGCTTAGCTGTGGTGACGTGAAGTCATGTGACCGTGCTGTAGTTCCTTTATAGCCCAACATTAGCCACCTTTAGCTTAGCGGTGGTGACGTGAAGTCATGTGACCATGCTGTAGTTCCTTTATAGCCCAACATTAGCCACCTTTAGCTTAGCTGTGGTGACGTGAAGTCATGTGACCGTGCTGTAGTTCCTTTATAGCCCAACATTAGCCACCTTTAGCTTAGCGGTGGTGACGTGAAGTCATGTGACCATGCTGTAGTTCCTTTATAGCCCAACATTAGCCACCTTTAGCTTAGCTGTGGTGACGTGAAGTCATGTGACCGTGCTGTAGTTCCTTTATAGCCCAACATTAGCCACCTTTAGCTTAGCGGTGGTGACGTGAAGTCATGTGACCATGCTGTAGTTCCTTTATAGCCCAACATTAGCCGCCTTTAGCTTAGCGGTGGTGACGTGAAGTCATGTGACCGTGCTGTAGTTCCTTTATAGCCCAACATTAGCCTCCTTTAGCTTAGCGGTGGTGACGTGAAGTCATGTGACCGTGCTGTAGTTCCTTTATAACCCAACATTAGCCACCTTTAGCTTAGCGGTGGTGACGTGAAGTCATGTGACCGTGCTGTAGTTCCTTTATAGCCGTCTGTCGCTGTCAACCTGGTTTGTGTTTATACCGTTTCTGTCACTTGTCACTGATACTGTCAACTCTCTGGGGTTTTCTATTTTGTTGTGTTTTAAAATGTTTTTAACATCGTGTATGAGAGTTTTTCAGTCTGTGGCTACACGTATGGTTTTATTGTCTCGTGCTTTTACATTTGTTTTATCTAAATGTATTCATGCTGCTTTTTATATATGTATTGATGTACAGCACTTTGGTCAACTCTGTTGTTTTTAAATGTGCTATATAAATAAAGTTGGATTGGATTGACCGGTGTTCCTCCCATTTGTCCCGGACATTGAAATCTTCCCTGACAGAAACGTTGTAGTACCACCACGTAGTCACCACCCCCGCCCCCCTCAGTACTCACTGTGCGTGGAAGTCCACCAGCACCGGCAGCTCGCTCTTGATGACCCGGACGTCGAAGTCGTCGTGGTCCTGGACGTTGAAGGAGGCGGCCCGGCGGAGGGAGGCGAGGGCGAGGGAGCGAGAGAGGACGGGGACTCTGGAAGACTGCAGGGAGGTAGAGAAGGAAGAGGAGACTGGGAGGCAGCGGAGATTTTTGGAGGAGAGCGTCCAAAACCTACGCACCAGCAGCCTGTGAGCCATCTGAGGGGAAGAGGGACAACAAGAGAAGAAGAAAAATGGAGATTAATGAAAAAAGAACTGAAAATAACTAAGTGTGCACACGTTACAAATCATAAAAAACACAATAGGTAAAAAACAAATAGCAGATTGACACTTGTTGAGGGAAAAGCAGCTCTGGTTGCATAAGATGGTGTGTGTGTGTGTGTGTGTGTGTGTGTGTGTGTGTGTGTGTGTGTGTGAGCATGTTTACAGCTTCCTACATGCAGGGCGTAGTGTGTGTGTGTCTGTGTGTGTGTCCGTCTGTGTCAGTGTGTCCGTCTGTGTGTGTGCCTGTGTGTGTGTGTGTGTCTGTATGTGTGTCTGTCTGTGTCTGTATGTGTGTCTGTGTGTGAGTGAGCGAGCATGTTTACAGCTTCCTACATGCAGGGCGTAGTGTGTGTGTGTCTGTCCGTCTGTGTCAGTGTGTCTGTCTGTCTGTGTGTGTGTCAGTGTGTCCGTCTGTGTGTCTGTGTGTGTGCCTGTGTGTGTGTGTGTGTGCCTGTGTGTGTGTGTGTGTGTGTGTGTCTGTGTCTGTATGTCTGTCTGTGTCTGTATGTGTGTGTGTCAGTGTGTGTGTGTGTGTGTGTGTCAGCATGTTTACAGCTTCCTACATGCAGGGCGTAGTGTGTGTGGGTTTCTCAGGTGTGATTGATGTGTGTCTACCTGAAGCACAGACAGGCTTTGACTAGATTCTCTTGTATGAATATAATGTCATGGTAAGCACTGCAGCATCATATCTAACAGAAACAGCTAGATGTAGTGTCTGTGCCTAAAAGGGCCCCTTTAAGTCAAAGAACAGTAGTATAATCAGGAAAATGTATTCAAAGCATCAAAAGTACTCATTCTGCAGAACAATTGCCTCCGTATAAGATATTATTATTATTATATGTGACATTGTTTTCATATTGTTGCATTGAGTAGCATTTGACTGTTGTAAATAATCACAATCACAATCCTTTATTAGTCCCACAGCGGGGAAATGTACGGTGTTACAGCAAAAGTGGCATAGCAGGTAAAAAAGGCACTTTACTTTACTTGAGTATTTCAATGTTATGCTACTTCGTACTTTTACTCCACTACATGTATTTAGTTACTTCACAGATGTGGATGAATGATGTGAAATATAATCAAGTGTTAAATCAGACTTTAGTTCCACCTGGAGTAAATTCTCAAGCTACCCTGCAGTATACAAAGTCATTCAAACTAGCTGCACCTTTACCAGCTTTGAGAACACTTTCATGATCAATCATTATAAAACATATCATATATATTATTCTGAAATGGACCAATCTGCACAATGACTACTTTTACTGTCGCTACTTTCACTATATTTTGATGAGAATACTTTTCTACTTTTACTTGAGGAACATTTTGAATGCAGGACTTTTACTGTAACAGAGTATTCCTACACTCTGGTACTTCTACTTTTACTCAAGTACAAGATCTGAGTACTTCTACTTTTACTCAAGTACAAGATCTGAGTACTTCCACTTTTACTCAAGATCTGAGTACTTCTACTTTTACTCCAGTACTAGATCTGAGTACTTCTCTCTCTTCTGGTTAAATACCTCCACTGCTTTGTGGTTTTTACACACTCCCACAAACAGAGGAGGAGAACTTTAAATATCGGGTATATCTCTGTGAACATGTCCGTGAATAATAACTTTTTAATCCCCTTTAACGCAGATTCTCCTCCGGTTTGCTGCGTATCTCCCGGTTATTTAAGTTAACCTCCGTTATGACTTTGCCCACTTTGCCCTCTTCGTCCTCCTCTTCCTCCCCGCCTCCCGTTACGACACACACACACACACACACACTCACACACACACGTTCACAGGTTAAATCCTCACTACATACTCAGGTGTCACACACACCAACACATTAAGGTGTTTTAAAGCGATAAGACATTTCTCCGTGTTTACCTTTCTGCTGCTGCTTCGGTGATCTTGGCCTTGGGTGACCAGTTAAGCACTTCCGGTTTGGTAGAAAAAGGGACCGAGCAGCTTTTTATCCACGAGACGAAACTGCGGTTAGCGCCCCTTGGTGGTCGTGTTGGGAACTACATGGTACTGTAAAAATGATCATATTAATTGATTTATGAATGTCATTTTGGGAAATAAAGTGTATTCTGTTGCAAAAACAGCAAAAATAAATGGTTAAAAATAACATACTCATTGTTAGCTAGCCTAAAAGCAATTAATAAATAGCTAGTTTAACAGTTAGTTATCTTAAAAGTAATTGATAAATTGTCAAATGGTAAGGAGCCACTGTTATAGGAGTATTTATAGCTTTAAATCCATCCCATATCAACTGAGATGCAATAAATGTATTGTTCTTTAAACATAAAAAAAACAATAAACAAAAATATTGAATAGTTTTAATCATTATAATTAAATTACTAATATTCTAGTATTTTTAAGATAGGTAGGTGTAGGTCTTGGTATTGAATCCTTTTTACGACTATTGAGAATTTTAAAAAAAGAAACAGAAAATTAACAATAATTAAGAAATTGTCCAAAAAGAAATGAAGACAAATCTCGTTAATTGATTTTTTGTTGTTGAGAATGAATAAATAAATGTTCTTTAAACCTCCAAATCTGAGGCCATGGTTCTCAGCAGGAAACCGATGGACTGTCCACTCCAAGCAGGGAATGAGTCCTTACCCCAAGTGAAGGAGCTCAAGTATCTCGGGGTCTGGTTCTCGAGTGAGGGAACAATGGAGAGTGAGATGGGCCGGAGAATCGGAGCAGCGGGAGCGGTACTGCAGTCGCTGACATAAGGTGAGAAGTTCAGTCATCCGGGAGGGACTCGGAGTTGAACCGCTCCTCCTTCGCGTCGAAAGGAGCCAGTTGAGGTGGTTCGGGCACCTAGTAAGGATGCCACCTGGGCGCCTCCCTAGGGAAGAGACCGAGGGGTAGACCTAGGACCAGGTGGAGGGATTATATCTCTTCGCTGGCCTGGGAGTGCCTTGGGATCCCCCAGTCAGAGCTGGTTGATGTGGCCAGGGAAAGGAACGTTTGGGGCTCTCTGCTGGAACTGATACCTCCGCGACCCGACCACGGATAAGCGGGAGAAGATGGAAGGATGGATGGAGATCTAAATGTAATCTTAAAAAAAGCACATTGTATTTTGCTTGAAAATACAGTTTAATATGTTTTTAGTTGAATTATTTTGTCTAGATTACACTACTTAACTACTCCTTTAGCTGCCCACACAGCGCACACATGCGTTATTGTTCTTCTCTTCCACCTCTCAGCATGAAAGCAGACATCAGATGAAACAAATAAAAGAACACCATCCTTGCTCGCTGCTCACCTGTAATCCATGATTTATGGAGATGGAAAAGTCGATGGCCTGCGCCTTTCATGTCCAAGAGGGCAGCCGGATGAAAGAGAGGGGAGATGTGTGTGTTGTTGGTCAGATACAGAAACACTGGAGAACACACACACTCAGTAAGACAGGGGAAATATTCAGCAAGAGAGGATGACTCACGCATAAAGCCATTGTGGTAATGCCATGTAAAGAAGAAGACAGGAATACAGAGGAGAGACGTGGTTCTTTAAGTCCTTAATGTCCTCTCAGGAAGAAGATGCAGACTCTCTCTGTGTTGTTTGGATACTCCATTATTACAACAGCTTGATTTTATTTTTATTACTGCTGTTCGGAAAGTGAAGCTGCAAAGAAGATTGCTCTTCAGTGCAAGTGATCACCTTAACTTTGGACTTCTGTGGATGTGTACAGGAAGTATTTCAAGAGGCATTTAAGCATTTGGGTGAAAGTTGGCATTTTGGATAAACTACAGAGGAACGGAGAAAGAACACAAAGGAATGGAAAAGCCTTGAGTCCTTTCCACTGATGTGCTGATGACCCGTACATTTCTACAACGGTTTGATTTTTCTTTCTGTCACATTTTTGTCACTGCAGAAACCTTCATTTAAGAAGTTAAAGGTAGGGTATGTAATTTATTTCAGAAACACAAAATATCTCATCTGTGGAAGCCGTGGCGCTGTAAAAAGCACGACCAATCATCTGAGCCGGCCCGGCTAAAATAACTGGATGGCCTACCTGCCTGTCAGCCTTCCATCTCGTGCACAAACTTATCTCGTGCCCTCATTGGTCATGTGTGCGTCCGTGTGTGTTGGAGGAGGGGCTCTGTAAGGAAGTGGCAGATTTTTTCAGGTTGTGTATTTTCAAATTCTAGCGCACTCGAGCTGGTTTCTCCAAAATTACCTACCCTACCTTTAAGATGTAAAGAAGATGACTTTTCAATGCAACTGATCACCCTCACCTTGGACTCTTGTGGAAGTATTTGAACTCTTTTGAACAGGATGCAGAAAAGCTTTGAGGGGAAAGTTGAAATGTTAAAGGAAGGAACACGACGGAATAAGGAGGCCTTTGTTCCTTTGATTCATTTTCACTAATGAAGTAACCATTTCTAAGAAGTAAGCCAGACCATTTCGAAATGCTGTTTTTCTTTTCTTTCTTTCACATGTTGTCACTGCAAAAACTTTCATTTGGAGAGTGAAGAAGATTACTTTTCAGTGCAAAGTAATGACCCTCACTTTGGACCTTTAGGGAAAGATACAGTAAGAGTTTGAACACAGGATGCACAAAATAATGAATGCGGAAAGTACATAGAAGCCTTGGTTCTCTGAGTCCTTACTAATGCAGTAGTCCGTTTTATTTGTACTTTATGTCTCCCCAAAAACCTTGATTTGGGCAGTGAAGATGTAAAGAAGATTGAATGTTTAAAGGGGACCTATCATGCAAAATGCACTTTTGTACGTCTTTTATACATGAATATGTGTCCCCGGTGTTCCAGGGAACTCACCAAGTGTCAGAAAACACAACCCTCTCTATTTTCCTCCATACCCAAATCTCTAAAAAAGGGGCTGCAACGGATCTGATCAAAACTGATCCAGATTTGAACACTGTCCTGACGTCAGGACGGTGGCGCTACGGCTATTGGGCCAACTCCACCAATCAGGAGGAGACAGCCACGGCCATTGCCGTTCGAAAGCGCTGGAGACGCTGTAGTACATATGCCAGGCCTGTAGGTGGTGCTGTTCTCACTGAATCTGCCCTTGCTAAAACAGAGCTATAAATTGTCAAATTGAGCGAAATGAGGCATGGCTAAAATGCATGATCTGTTTGGTAATTTGAAAAAAAAAAAGTATAAATATGCCTTAATATAGGTATGGTCCTACACTATATTATTCAAATATAGCATGATAGGTCCACTTTAAGTGCAATGAATGACCCTCACTTTGGACTCTTGTGAATGTGTACAGGAAGTATTTGGACTCTTTTAAACAGGATGCACAAAAGAAAGGAGGAAAAAGTTGTAATATCTGGACCCTCTCCCATCCTTCGACCTCCTCTGTTTCGCAGCGTCGGACCTCCTGAGCTCTCTGCCGGTCTGCCCCCCCACAGACGACTCCGCTCTTTGTTCTGCAGATCCAGAGCTGTGCTGCCTGCAAACACACACCCTCCTGAAGCCTCAGACACACACACATTCACGGACATACACACACGCAACCACGATCGTACTGTTGTGTGTCCACTGTTGTCCAATGATGCACTTTCAAAGGATGTTCAGTGCAGAACAGATGCATTTCAGCCTAAAAGAAACTCAGTTGTACACAGAGGAGCTGAGTTTAGGTCAGAGGCTTTTGCCGACACGCGGTCTTTGGTGTCAGAAAGCTCTCAGGTGCACGTGTTTTCAGACAGAAGCAGAAACAGAGGCAGATGGGTGAGTCCTCTTCAGACATCAGAGGATCCAGCGATCAAAGACAAGCAACGGAGGAGGAAGAGGAGCTTTAAGGTGGACTGTGCAGGGAAATATGTTCTACCGCCATCACGCACACAGAAAGAGGAAGATGCACGGCTCTGTGAGTGGTTACAGAGTCTGGGAATTGCAGGTGATAACCAGCAGAAATCCAGATTCAGAGGGGGGGTTAGAGAGCCAGGAACAAGCTTCAGGAGAGACAGACGCCCACATTTCCTACCTCCCCTCATGCAGTCCGACTCCCTTCTACATGTGCCTTTCTTTCTCCCTGAAAACTCCCCCCCGCCCTCACCCTTCACCCACCCTGACCCTCCCAAGCATCCCCGCTCTATGAGGAGGCAAAAGGGGGGAGACCTCTGACTCCCTCAGGTGTAGAGGCTCTGGTCCTGCACTCATCTGCTTTTTACTGTCAAAGGATTCAAAGGTTTTATTTGTTGTGTGCACAAAAAGCTGCAGTGTCGTTTTGGGATTGTCGGCTGATCCTAAAATACAATATGGCTACTCATCATCAAGAGACATGACAATGGTGCAATAGTAAGAAAGTTGCATACGAAAAATATTACATTACATGTTACTTGTTAAGACGCTTTTATCCAAAGCGACTAACATACTCAAGACTGTGGAGGGAGGCGTGTGGTGCAATGGTTTGTGTGTTGGTGTTCGGATCAAGGGGTCACAGGTTCAAACCCCACTGCAGTCAGCATGTCGTTGTGTCCCTGAGACACTTCACCCCAAATTGCTCCTGTGGGGATTGCCCACAGTATTGAGTATGTAAGTCGCTTTGGATAAAAGCATCTAACAAGTGACATGTAATGTAATGTAATGGACAATGTGAAGTGTCTCAGGGACACAACAACATGCTGACTGCAGTGGGGTTTGAACCTGTGACCCCCTGATCCGAACACCACTGCACCACAGCCTCCCAAAATATGTTCATGTAAAACAAACATAATGTCAAATGTAATACTTTACAGTAGAATAAATAGTGTCTGTATAGCCTGTGTATTTTGTGTGTCTTTATGTAAGGACAAATAGAAAGATAAGTCAAAAGTTGTGTACATTCTGAGAATAATTTCTAGCTTCGTTGTAATGGATATATTGTCAGAATGCTAAAATTCATAAATGGCTAAGATAGCTTAAAGTAATCAATACACAGTTAAAGATGTTAGCTTAAAGCAGGGGTGTCAAACTCAAATACACAGTGGGCCAACATTT